ATATTTAAGTAATTCAGCCAGTCTGAAACCAGACTCGATGAATTACTTAAATATAATTATCGAATCCTCCTAATAATTTCTATCATGTGTATATCATTGCTTGAACCGGCTTCTAATGCTCTAGAGTGAGCGGCTTGGTGAGAGTAGTCGTGGCTCCAGTGGGGCACAGTCCTATGGTTAGAGAGAACTCAGTAGAGTTTTCCCACGGTATATGTGAGCGAGCGGCGCTATATTGAGTCTGATTTGCAATCTCTTCATCATCGAGGCCCATTTGGAACAGTTTGTATGACGTTTGCTTCACAACCTGTCAGGGTTTCAATTCTCGGTAGTGGTTGCGCACTGCTGATGAGTCCCAAATATAGGACGAAACGGCCGTCCATTCTGTTGAGGTTTCAGAGTCGATGAATTACTTTATATATATATATATATATATGTGTGTGTGTGTGTGTGTGTGTGTGTGTGTATGTATGTATGTAAAATGTATATAAATACAAATATATATAACTTTATATATATATATATATATATATATATATATATATTATATATGCGCGGTACGTATTGGAAAGCGCTCACTATCAGTAATAGAGTTAACATATTTAGTTGGATTGATGTGAGTTTGCGACCCTGAGTTTCATGCTATTTGGGATCGTATGTTTGTCTGACGATCGCAAACAGCGTGAAACCCAGGATTACACACTCACAAATTCAACTAAATATATATATGTGTGTGTGTGTGTGTGTGTGTGTTAAAATCCGAACAAAGTTTTCAATACCGGGATCGCGTACGTAAATATATAGAAGAAAAATTAAGCATTTAAAGAAGTAAGGGGATAGAAATGAAACATTTCAAAAATTTTACATTTAACTGAAGAAGACGTTAAACACATGAGAGTGTTGTCGCATCTGCTATTTTCAGTTTTCTTTCTTTCTTTCTTTCTTCAGCTGTCCTGATAAAATGTTAGTTTAACTTTGGATGTATTGAATGCGACCAACCAGTCTTTCCACGCCCGAGCTGTGAGAATTATGTCAGAGGAGAGATCAGCCACCAAACACTGGCCATCAAGATATTTGAAGTTGCACCTATACACTGTAGTATCATCTGCATATATGTTTTCAAACTTTCTGAGAGAATTCATGGGCAGATCATTGAGATAAAGCAGAGAAAGTGTGTAAGAAAGACCCGTGACGGACTCCAGTATCGATCTCAACACGCGTTTCTGGTATCGCGGCCTTCTTCAAGCAAAGAGTAGATATTTCTGCATATTATAAAAATGAATTTTTGCTTGGTAGTGATTCAAATGTCATTCTCGGACTGGTGATAAGTGTTTTTATCATTGGACCATATGAACCCAATAATATTATCGATACACTTCATAATGGAGAGCGAAGATAACAACAAATTAGCATTTCTGGACGTACTGATATCTCGAACTGAACATGAATTCAAGACATCCGTAAACCGAAAGCCAACATCAACAGAACAATACCTCAACTTTAACTCCCATCGTCCATACAGCGTCAAGAAAGGGATCCAGAGACATATGAACAAGAAATGGTCAGTATAAGCAGTATCCTACAACGTAACAACTACCCAGGGTACATAAAAGTGTTAGGAGGATGCATTTCTATAATAAGGGATTCCACTGAGTTCTACTTGTTATTACAAAAAAGTTTTCATTCATGACGTAGTTGTAAAATAGAGAAATTAGAAATAGAATGTTTGGAAGATTCTAGATCATTCTAGTATATTCGAGAAAAATCTAGATGATTCGAAAAACGTCTAGAAATATGCAAATTAGGTGTTAGCCCCTATAAAAATGGGATTTTGGAAAAGGGTTGTCAGTTGATGAAGGAAAATTTCTTCTGTTATCAACTCCGGCTTTTGATTCGAGGACTATTATATCCAGCTGAAAGAATCTCTATAAAAAGTTGCCGACCAACCAAAACCCAAAAGAGAATTTCATGGAACAAATTTGGTAAATAGAATTTTGACTAATTTTCATTGACCAAACTAAAAATTAATATTTATTTACACACCTTTGTGGATTTCCAAATATAGCACTTAGATTACTTCACGAGCCCAAAACTGATAAAGATATTTGATTCCCTTTCCTTCTCCCTTCGCCAGTAACTCTTTGTTTTCTGTTTTGTAGGCCACAATTGTTTATCTTGTATATATTTTATGTTCTGTTTTAGTAAATTAAATATTTGTTTGTGATTTAGCTCTGTGTTGTGGTAAATCATTTTTTTCCTTTATTACAATTATCAACACGTAACAACAGTAATTCCCACAAACTGGGAAAGAAGAGACCAAGTGGATAAAAACACTCAGTAAACCGCCTCGTTATGCCTACCCTATGTGAAGATCTGTGCTCCATATAACATCAGGACGACCGTCAAAAGTGGTTCAACACATCGTAGACATCTCTTCCAAGTAAGACCTCCCATAGAGGAGAACATGACTATGAACTGTGTGTACGTAATCCCATGCAGCTGTGGCAAGAAATATAAAGGAGAAACAGGTCGTCCCCTTAAGATAAGGCTGCGGGAACACCATAAGCCGTAACACGAGGGGAAATAGAAAAATCAGCCGTAGTTGACCACATATCGAGGGAAAAGGGAGACCACCGCTCCCTGTGAGATGAGGTTGAAATCATAGACAGAAAACATCAGTGGAAAATACGAAAACTTATGGAATCAGCGCATATGCTAGGCGACAAAAATCATCTAAGCCGGCTAAGCATAGAAATGAATACAATATGGGAGCCAGTAATACGGAGTGCTAGAGAAAAACTATAATAACAACAAAATTGCAATATGAGCTCTGGTAAAAAAAAAATGTTTACTGAGACATTAGGTCTATAAATCCCAAATGTTCATACACTGGCCCAGTGGATAAAAGGGCACATGACGCAGTGGATAAAAGCGTTGGTTGAATCCAGTGACTTGACCCAAAGAGTTGTGAGTTCAATACCTGGCTACAGCTGAGAGTTGAGTTAAAGGGAGATAACTGGTGCTGAGACATCCGGAAGAGGCAAGACATGTGGAACTAGAACACCCTACCCCCGGTTGACTAAATAAAGGGTTCAGTTCGAAATTCCAATCACTTGAAGAAGTCCGGAGCGTACAACGACCGAGACGTCGGGAATATGGTAGCAAAGATGAGGACAACAGTCCGAATAATGTCAAAATTACTTTACCTCATCTCAGAAATAGAGATAGATATCAAGAGACTGATTAGAATGGATCAGTATAAAGATAAGTAAACACAATTTGTCTATATTATTCAATGAATATATATATATATATATATATATATATATATAAGGTGCGTAAAATATGTTCTGTGATTGAAATGAGAGTACTGATGATACATATCCTGAATCCATCGTAAAAATTTCAGAATATAGAATAAAAAAATTCCAAACATTTCAGAAACTTCGGTGTATAATAAATTTAGTAGAGGAGATAAAGAAACTGTGCAAAGGATAGGTTGCACTAGGGGGTACTTTTTTTTTTCAAAAAAAAAGTAAGATGCTACATAACAAGATATTAGCGTGAAATCGAGTCATTGTCTTAAATAGCTCTTCATAGACTCTCTCTCTCATATATATATATATATATATATATATATATATATATATATATATATATCTATATATCTATGTGTACACACACACTATATATATATATATATATATATATATATATATATATATATATATATATATATATATATATATATATAATAGTGATTAAATTTGGATTTTAAAATTGCCAGTTTTAATTTTAATATTAAATTTTATCATATAATTTTATAATTATTGGTTAGTATAAATTATTTTTAATGTTACACGTATTTTAAAGAACTGAATAGCTATTATAACATGATTTCGTTGTCAAGCTTTTGAATCTTTCTATACTTAGTTTTTGATTGGTTATTCTAGCTTTTGTCACAATGTTTCCCCCTAGTGTAGGATCGTTAATTAATCTGAAACTTTTAAAACCATTTATTTTATTTTCAACATCATCACTTGATAAGACACAGAGTGTGTTGAAACAAAATGGCTATTTTTGTAGTGATTTTATAACATACTTATGTTATAATTTTTTTTTTATAAAAAATAATTATATATATATATATATATATATATATATATATATTATGTTCAACGGATGTTCTTATTTCAAATTCCTTCTGTCAGATGTTGTTTTCTGCTCCAACACCGATTTTCAATTCAGACTTGTTTATATCTGTGCTCAGCCGGTGACAATCTTTCATTTATATTTCATTAGTGGTTAAGAATATTTTTTTTATTTATGGCTCCGAAGAAAAGTCCTAGTGTAAGTAGTAAAGCTAAGCGTAAAGCTATATCGCTAGAAGATAAGGTGGAAATAAATAATACTATACGTATAATCATAAATACCGTAATAGGCAATGGGAAATGCTTATTTGCGATTTATTGTGTGGTTATTTCGACTTAAGTCATTTTTCGACCTAAGTCGGGACCTCTGGAAACAATTAACGACGTAGGATGAAGTATGCCTGTATCAAGAAAATACTACCATCTTCTTAGATGAATTATTAAAAGATACCTTCAAGTAAATGAACCCTTCCGGTCTTTCATTAGACATTATCAAATGACGCCAAAAAAATCGCAAAGATGAAGACACATCCCCAAATAACAGAAACCTCATCACTTGAAGACTTCCAACAGCAATAACAACCAAAAAATGTATAGTACATACATGACTAGAAAGGAACAATATGATATAATCAAGATGTAAATTTTCCACACTACCTGAAACAAAAGGTTTGAAAGGAAACTCCCAACTGTATTACAAAGAGTGACAATAATTAGCTGACTTGTGAAGTGCAATTTCTTGAAAAACTGTTTAAGAAAATTTTTATGCATTTTAACCAAGACAAACGCTGATTGGTCAATAAATGCCGATTTTTTTTATGGAAACAGCCACTTTCAGCATTACCATCTAAGTCTGTTCACATCTATCTATCTATCTATCTATCTATCTATCTATCTATCTATCTATCTGACATTTAATCAACCTGAAAAGTCTTCTTCTTCTTCTTCTTCTTCTTCTTCTTCTTCTTCTTCTTCTTCTTGCCCTCATTCTCCTGCTTCTTTTTCTCATACTCCCCCTTCTCCTCCTGCTTTTTCTTCTTCCCACCCTACGGATTCTTCTTCTTCTTCTTCTTCTTCTTCTTCTTCTTCTTCTTCTTCTTCTTCTATGTGGCATGCCCCTTCAGGACGTTGGTAATCATGGCTCTCCACAATTGTAATTTTAATGCCGTTTGTCTTTTTGCCATTTTCTCTATACCCTGCTCTGCCATCCATCCATCCATCCATCCATCCATCCACCCATCCATCCATCCATTCATCCAAGCTCTCTAGGTTGTACGTTGTATACCTCTGTCTCTCTTACCTTCAATCTTTCCTGTGAGTATCAAATTTTCCAAGCCCTCCTTCCTCATTGTGTGTTCCAGAAACCTCAACTCCCTCTTCATGATGCTAATTATTAGTGTCCTCTTTGTTACCATTGTTTTTAGAACTTCGTTGTTTCTCACACGTTCGGGCGATGGTATTCACATCATCCTTCAGTAGAACCACATTTCTGTTGCTTCAAGTAATTTATACATCTGTGAGGACATTGTCCAGCATTCACTGCTATATAGTTGGACTGATACCACATTACTGTTCAGTACTCATTTTTCTATCTATCTGTCTATCTTAGTCTGTTCCCATCTATCTATCTATCTATCTATCTATCTATCTATCTATCTATCTATCTATCTATCTATCTTAGTCTGTTCAATCTATCTATTTATCTATCTATCACAGTCTATTCATATGTCTCTATATTTATCTATCTCAATGTGTTCATATCTATCTATCTATCTATCTATCTATCTATCTTAGTCTGTTCAATCTATCTATTTATTTATCTATCACAGTCTATTCATATGTCTCTATATTTATCTATCTCAATGTGTTCATATCTATCTATCTATCTATCTATCTATCTATCTATCTATCTATCTATCTTAGTCTGTTCATATCTATCTATCTCTCTATCTCTCTATCTCTCTCATCTATCTATCTATCTATCTATCTATCTTAGTCTGTTCATATCTATCTATCTATCTATCTATCTATCTATCTATCTATCTATCTATCTCTGTGTGTCCATATCTATATATTTATGTCCATGTATATATCTCATCTCAGTGTGTTCATATCTATCTATCACATCTCAGTCTGTCAACATCTATCTATCTATCTATCTATCTATCTATCTATCTATCTATCTATCTATCTATCTATCTATTAGTCTGTTCATATCTATCTATCTATCTATCTATCTATCTATCTATCTATCTATCTATCTATCTCACCTCATCTCATCTCATCTCACATTTAGTGAATATTAGAAGTCGAATTTCATGAAAAACAAAAGTAGAATGACTTTACACATTTCAAAGGACAGTCGCTAACTATTCAGTCAATGTATACCGGATGTTTCCTGTATGGAAACGGCTTCATTTCATATTTACAAAACAGATTCATGGCTAACGATTCACCGGAAAAATCTCCTTACTCCGTTGTAAATTTTATATATTATCATCAATTAGTATAATTTATTTAACATTTTGAATAGGTGAACTGGCCTCAAAGTCAACAAAGTATGTAAACAATGCTTTTTTTTTTTTTAAAGATCACCTTATTGTAAAACAATATCAAAAGCCCTTTCATTTGACGGTCAGTCTTCAATATTAAAATGGTATGCATCAGGACAGTCACTGATATTAGAGCAGCAACAAATGCTACAACTACTACTACTACTAGTATAAATAACCATAATAATAATAAAGTTCGGCTGATTAAAGAATTTCAACAGTGAACGTGTTCAAAGACCTACTTCCTGTTTTTACAAGCTATGTTGTCAAAATGGCGGTCTGCTTACAAACCTTGAAAGGTAAATGTCGTAATATTGCGTGATTTCGTTTTCTTATGAAGGTATGTACGCGTGCGTGAAGCTGCCATCGACATTTTCAAGGCGGAGTAGATGAAGGTGGCAATAGTCATGCTTTCTTTCTTCTCTCTGTCTCTGTCTGTCTGTCTCTCTCTCTTTCTCACTCCTTCCAAAGCCTTGCTCATTGCTTTCCTTGCTATCAAGTATTTCGACCTCAGTAGTTACATCCGGTTGTTAACACATAAATTGACACGATATATTAAAAAAAAATAGGGTAAAAATAAAATAATCTATGATGAAAAATGTAAAATTGCCGGGAATGCCGGGAATTACAGGAAGTTACATGAATTGGGGAAATTTTGAAAACTTTTTATTCTATCAATCTTTTCCCTCCCCGTTTTCAAGTCAACCTCTACCTTTTGAACCTTTCATTCCATTAAATGCCGTTCTTGTCTTCTTCATGTACAGCTTTTTTTTTCTCTATCGAACAATACCATATTAAATTCTGTCCTCTTTCTTATCGATCCAATTTACTTACTGGCTCATTCTTGTCACGTTGTACTTCTTTCTTTCTTTCTTTTTACAGTTTTCATTCCTCTTATTATTTTTTCTTTTTCATTGTTCTTTCTTTCTTTCTTTCTTTTTATACTTCTTTCTTTCATTTTACACTTGTTATTGCTCTTTCTTTCTTTCTTTCTTTCTTTCTTCTTTCTTTCTTTCTTTTCACAGTTACTCCATTCGTCTTGTTTTTTTTTTTTTTCATCATTCATTCATTCTTTCTTTCGACACTTAATTAATTCCTTTTATTCTTTCTCTTTCTTTTTTTCTTTCTTTCTTGCCTTCTTTCTTTCTTCCTTTCTTTTAATTGTTCTCCTCTGCTTCCTTTATTTCTTCTTTCTTTTTACAGTTAATTCATTCCTGTCATTGTTCTTTTTTTTTCGTCGTTTTTTCTTTCTTTTTACAGTTAATACTTTCGCCACGCTATTTTTTTTCTTTCTTGCTTTCTTTCTTTCTTTCTTTCTTTCTTTCTTTCTTTCTTTCTTTCTTTCTTTCTTTCTTTCTTTCTTTCTCATAATTGTTCTTCTCTACTTTTGTTTTGTTTCTTTATTTCCTTCTTTTTAGAGTTAATCCATCCCTCTCATTATTTTTTCTTTCTTTCTTTATTTTTTTGAGGTGTACATCTTTGTCGTCTGCTTTTTCAAAGCGTTACTTGACACGTGATATTTTTAAGCTTTTATTTTCCTTCATTTCAAACACGTTTTTTCTCATTAAATGTACCGCGCTTTCTAAGTTTTCAATTTCTTCTTTCACCTTTCTTTTTCCGAGTTCTTTTTTTAGACATTTAAAGTATCTTTTTCGTCTTATTTTCATTCTACACGATAACCTTTATTTTCCCTAATCCTTTTTTTCCTTTCTTTCTTTCTTTCTTTCTTTCTTTTTCACTCTCTGTCTCTTTTCTTTCTTTTCCCCCCACCTCTCAATGA